GGCCCCACAGAACACTCCAGCACTGAGCACCTCTTTATGTGTCCACAGTATTCATGACACAGCCCCTGTCCGGAGTTGAAAAAAACTTACAGGTAGCACAGATGGGTAACATACTGTTCTGATTCTCTGATCTCAGAACTCTATTTCTTGATTCTGGGGACTGAACTACTGAGCTGCATCCCCAGCCCTTTTTAAATTTTTTATAGAGAGACAAGGTCTCAGAGTTGTTGAGGCTGCCCTTAAACTTGCTATCCACCTGCCTCAGCCTCCAGAGTCACAGGGATTACAGGTGTGGACCACTGCACCTGGCTTAGAATTCTCCTCTCTGAACACTCTGCACATGGCGCCATGCTCAGGATGACCACGCAGTGACTCAGAGCCCAGCATCTTCCTTGGCCTGTTTCACATTCATGGCACTTCCCAGGCCATGGTGACCCACTCTGAAGACCCTGCCTTGAAGGCCACCAGTTCTGCAGAGCAGTGCCATCTTGCTGCTCAAGGTGCCCTCATCCCAACGGACCATTCACTGGGCTTTAACTCTCCCACTCAAGAACAATTTACAAAAAGAGTTTCCTTGTCCAGGATCCATGAGAGAAGCCAGGAAAGCCTCCAACCACCTTTTAGGTTCTTTCTCCCTCTAAGCTGACCAACTTAGTTTGGGGACTGAGGGAGGAGAATTCACAAATTTGATGTTCTGAGAACCAAAAGCTCCTGAGAAAGCCCTCACCAGTTACCCTCTGTCGTGTCAGCACCTTTCACTCTCAAATTCTTGTCTCTTGGCAGAAAATTAGCTTACGATCATCCTGCAGCTACTACTACGGCGGGCAGGGATCATTCTTACCTCCACTGGGTGACATATGGTGAATGTGGATCTTGCCGTCCCTGATGTTGAGGGGAGTAACGGACAGCAAGTGGTCCTTCCACACTTTGATCCGGTTGGAAAACCCAATGATACTGAAGCGGTCTTGGGGCCGGAGGTCGTGGAGAATGGTGAAGAGGGCATCCTTGGTCTAGGAAACGCAGAAGCCAAACCAGTCACTTGGATGGCATTAGTCCACTTCCTCCCTGGCTTGGAAACTGCCCACAAGGAACCATCCCAGGGTTCAGAGTGGTACCTTCCATGTAAAGGGCTCTTGGCTAAACAGAAGGAATTGTCACCTGGCTAAACAATGGCGTAACTGTATACAAGGCATGAGTCAGTGGTGAACATGGAACAGGTCACATGCTGCTACCAGTCAAGATGTGTCAGGCCCAAGGTATACCTTCATGATTGCCATTCTCTTAACCCAGAATATTCTTTGCAGCTGTTTTGTTCCCATCTTTCACCCAACAAGCCTCTACTCAGTATTCCAGATCCAGACAAGTGTGCGAAATTCTCTATTTGAAACTTTTCCAAAGAGAGCTGATCATTCCCTCCTCTAGGCTGGCCCTGTCCCCAGAACACTCCTGTCATAAAATGTTTGCTGCAGAGTGACGATGACTTGTCTTATGTCTCTTTCCCTTATTGGATTGGAAGCTGTTTGCAGGTGGCTCTCATTCACCCAGTAACACACAGGAGATGCTGGAGGTGGGTGAATGAAGGATGGAAGGAATATTTAATGAACCCTCAAATCAGACACAGTAAGTGCCACAGGAATTGAGTAGATCATGAAATCACCATGGACTGCAATGACATGAGAAGGTTCTATAAAGAAACAGAAATCTGAGTGTGGGGCTTAGAGGATTGGACAGCTGCAAGGAGTAGGAGGAGGACTCTGAAGAGCAGCGACCATGAAGAAGCAGGGCGGGAGCCAAGGGAAGAGGGGAGAGGCGAGTGCGGGAGATGCCGGCTGGAACAAAGGTGTGCACTCAGGTCTGACGTGGCCTGTGGAAAGGAGAAAGGAACTTCAGGAAGCAAAACCAGAAAAACTCTAGAGTTTGGACAGGAGTTTCTGGAGTCCACCACCAGACACCAAGAGGAAGCACGGCCCTCCCCAGACAGCAGGCTGGGCGCTTAGAGAGACTCAGCCTCTCAAGTTAGGGGCTTTCATGACACCATTGCCATGACAATGATACCAGCACCTTTTTTACAGCACTAAAGATCACAGACTTCAGAGCCAGATGGTCTTCTGTGGGGGAGGATAGAATAAATGAGGACAGGCAGAGAGGAGAACAACAGGGAGTGGGGAACGAAAGGTGTGACTTTCACTCTAAGCAGCTCTGGCAATATTCTCATCGCTGCTCCCCACCCTGCGTCCCTCCAGGCCTGAATTCTAGAAAAATCAGCATATTCTCAGTCTAGAGGATCAATGCCATGCACGCTGCTAGTTTAAATAATATATTTTCTTTAGACAAAATAAAGCCAAGGGAGGATGGGGGGTGTGGTTCAGTGGCAGAGTGCTTGCCTGGCATGCACAAGACCCCAGGTTTGATCCCCAGTACTGCCAATAAATTAAAAAAAGCCAAGGGGGAAACAGTCTTACATGTCCACTATTTACGAAGATTCACTATTTAAAAGAAGGGGCCAAGGCCTGGGGATGTGGCGCAGTGGTAGAGCGCTTGCCTGGAATGCATGAGGCCCTGGGTTCAATCCCGGCACCCTCCCCTCACACACACACAAAGACAAAGTGCCCAAGACACCAAAAGTCTCACTCTGAGATGCCCACGCTCCTTTGGAGTGAGCCTCCTGCTCTGTGGCTAGCGTTCCTAAATAAAGGTCTTTGCTGTCTTAGATAAATCTTTGTGCTTCTTTTGACATCTCCTGAGATTCCTTTCTGTGGTGTAAGTCAAGAACCTGCCAGGGCTGAGTTGAGGCCCCCTCCTCCATTCTGGAGGACCTCCTCGGACCCCTTGCAGGTGACGGTGTGTACTTGAGGCTGGCCTCATCATCTCTCATGGGCCCTATGCGGCGAGCGCCGTCTTTCCTTTCTTACTCTTTCCTATCTCACTGTGCCTGAGTCGCCCCATTGGGACAGTGACAACGCCCACCCCATCAGCTTGACTCAAAGGTCAAATCAGGTATGAGATGAAAGGTTCTCAAACAGGGCCAGGCCAACAGTGAAAGGGACCTTGTATTCGCTGGTGGGAGGTAGAATTTAGGGAAGCAGGAAGTCTGGAGCGGCTATTTCCAGAATGACTGGCAGTAAAGAGCAATATGACACTCGGAAATATGAAGTAGGTCTTTCCCCAGATTTTATGACTCTGACTTTGCTTCATTCCCCAGATTCAGGCATTATTAGAGCTTCCACCTCTCTGTGTCAAATGACCACTGTTTTTGTTTTTACATTTCCCCTTCTGAATTTCCTTTTTCCTCACTTGTCTGTCCTCCCCTTCAATCCTGTGTCCACCTGCTCATTGTAATATCCCATGGCCCAGCTCCTAGTTTCACTGGATCCTCCAGATCCACTTTAGAATACTATTCTGGACATGTCTGCTTTTAAAATGGTACATTCCATTTTTTCCTGTGTGGCTTACTAAACCAGGAGGTTCTAGTCTGAGCAAGTGTTCACGTAATGTTCCCTGGTGATTCCTGCTGAACGTTAGTTCCTCATCTTTTACCATTTCTTCATTCCCAGATGGAGGAAGCAGCAGAGTTAATGATGATGATGATGGGGACAATAAATGTCATGCTGAGTGCAAACGCTTCCCTGTGTTGGGGTGACTGATTCTCCTAATCTTCACCGCCCGCCTGAGGTAAAGTGACTATTAGTATTCCCATTATACAGATGAGGCAACTGAGGCACGGGGGAGTAAATGCCATGCCCCACAGGAGCCTGGATTGGAATACAGGAGGACTGACACCAGGACCAACACTCAACCCACAGCGGTGGGATCTGCAGCCCCCACCCTGCTGGGGCTGAGAATACTCTGACCTACAACCCTCACAGTCTGCAGCCCATTTTGGGATTCCTTCCAGTTCTGTTTCTGAGCTCTGTTTATTTCTTTGTTTCTTTCATTTCATTTCTGGCAGCAATTAATGGATTCATCTCCTATAACATCCTTACAGAAGGCACTGCATGAATTCCCCATCCACCCGGGGATGAGAACAATGACTGTATTTCATTAAATCCGTCTCCTCATCCTACAGAGGACTGCCTCCTACTCCCAGTTCTTCCAGGAGAAAAGAGGGCTGTGGAAGTGCTGTTTTCTCTCCTGGGGATAGGAAGCCTCCTCCATTCTCTCTGTACTCCTTCTGGTGTGGGCTTTCCCCTGGTGAGGGACACTCATTGGCAGCAGAGATTCCTGGCCCCTCACAATCCTGACCCCCATTCCCAGGAAATGGGTCAAAGTGTCTTCTGACCATAAACAGAATCCACACCCCAAATGGGCCAGCAGTTCTGGAAGACATTTAAGTGTGTGTGAGATGCTCTAACAAGATGGCGGCTTCCTCCTTCTTAAAACTCTTCTTGTTCTGGCTTTCCCCACACACCCTGGGTCTCCCCAAGCTGACTGGTGCTCCCCTGGGCTCTGCTAGGCCTCAGCCACCTTTCAGTGAAAGAGTCACAGGGTGACAGTCTCAGCTGAGTCCCAGCTCCACATTCCTCCGCCAGTCTTTGTCTTGCCCACTTCCAACTCATCTCCAGAACTTGCTTCTCTCATTAGATCCAGAGCAACCCAACAACTATTCTCCCAGCATGTCC